AGCGGGGGAGGGGCGGGGCCAGAGCGCCCGCGGGGCCGCCGGGCCGGCGCTGTCTCCGAGGCCTTCCCGGGGAGGCTCGGAGTCCCTTCCCACGGCCGGCGCGGCGGCGTGCGCTGGCGACCGGAGAGGCTTCCGGGAGGGCTGCCGACCCGATCGCTCGGCCCGCGCCCGGAGGGAGGGGACTGGGGACCGCTGGGGTCCCGCCTTCGACGCTGGTCCCGACGCTGCCTGCTTGCGGGACGCGGCTCCGCTCCCGCGAAGGTGCCGCTCGGGGCTCGCGGCCGCGTCTCGGGCGGCGTTCGCGCGGCGGGTCGCCCGGAGCGCGGTGTGCTGGCTCTTTGAGAAAGTTCTTCCCGCTCCGAGAGCTGCGAGGCGCCGCCGGCCGGACGCTCGTCCGCCCGGAAAAGTAAGGCAGATGTCGGGGTCTCTCCGGAGCTGACCTTTGCTGGTGACTTTGAGTCTCTTAAATAACTCTCTACTATTATAGATTAAGTGGGCAGGGTTTTGATTTTTTGATTTTCTGTTCTTTGTAATTCAGAATGACCTAAGCCCAATGGTCTCTGTCACCTAAGCTGCAGCAAAGACCCAAACATCGGATAGGAAACGTGATTGGGTAACTTCTAAAGCCTAGCTCTCGTGATAAAAGTGGAGAGAAGACCTGGAAAAGGAAAAGACAATCAGAAGGATTTATACTGTTTTTCAAGAGGAAAGGAGATCCATTTTCTAGACGTGATATTTTTCATATATGCTACAGCAGAAACATGGTACAGTTGTGTTTTACATTTTATTGGATTGGTACGCCTTTGTCTATACTATGCACCAAACATAATTTCATAATAAACTCAGAAAGAGACCTGGGATTCAAAAAATTGCCTGAAATTGGAAAATAAAGTTTGTTTTTCGCCAGGACTGTAGCCTAGTGGCACAGTGCCTGCCTGGCAAGCACAAGGTCCTAAATTCAATTGTAATATCCAAAAATACATATACATCTTTTTCATACTGTAATGTAGGCTTTGTGTGTGCCCTTTGAAATGAGAGAATATTATTCCCCATGTAAATTTCCTAAAACCACCCCCAGACATACATGGAAGACAATATAAAATAGTTGTATATCAGTTTGAAACTCAGTTCTGGCCCTTTGTTGATTTTGCCAGGTAGAGCTAGAAGGCTTTATCAAAAATAACGCACCACCAAATAATACAAATTTGATGTTTTTATAGTGCTCCTATAGTGTGAGTTAGTATCAATATTTCAATATTGGAAAATATTTAATGCATATTTCTTACATGCAAGGCATGATGCTAAATGTTTTAGAATAGAACATGTTAAACCTGCCCTGCCCTCAATAAAGCTATAATCTGATAGATTTGAGTTCCCTTTATCAGAGGAATTCTTTAGTCTCTACTTGAGAACCTCCCACTCTTCCAACATTTATGCAGACATCCCATTACCGTCATATTCAGGGAGATCTGAGGTTAGAAAGACATTAGACTTGTAAGGAAAAGTAGCCAGAGCAGGGTGCTGTTTGCTTCCTTAGATCGACTTGACCTTGGCCCCTTCTTAAAAGATAAGTATTCTAGAAATCTTAAAGGAGAAGGAATGGGAGAAAAGAGAGCTAACCAAGTCAGGCAGTCCATGGTGTAATAAAGGGCTAAGTAGCCAGCCCCCACGTGTTGTCCTGATAGTGCAAACCTTGATGACTCATGGATTCGGTGGTACCTGCCCTAACAGCAGCTGGACCCTTAGGACTAATGGGAACAGTTTTAAATAACAATTTTAATAAATTGTACCTTCATCTTAGCACTATCACTGACATGCCAAAAGCCAAGATTCTCCACTCAGGAGTCAGAGCCCACTAGCCAACAGCAGTCCCCATCCTTTCCTCTCACCAAAAAGAATCTCCTTGGTGCGATTTCCTGGTAAAGATTTTGTCTTTTTTCTCTAAGTTGTAGTAATTAAAACTGATAGTATTTTGCTGGTATTATTTTAATCCCTTGTTCAGATCACCCCTAAAAGTCCATCATGCACACAATGCTTTTTAAACCTTCAGAATCGCTTCTCTGGCATTTCATAAAAACATACATTTCAACCAAAGTCAAGATAAATTCAGAGATCTGTCAGACATGCATTAAAACATCATACCTAGAGAACCATAGATTTCAGCTTTTAAAAGCTCACTACAAGCACCATGGCATACATCTCAATCCCAACTAGTCAGGAAGCTTACCCAGAGGACTGCAAGTTAGAGCAACCTGGGAATTTAGCAAGATCAAGGGCTAGGGAAGTAACTCAGTGGGAAAGCACCCTTTCTAGGTTTGGACCTCAGTACCACAGAAAGCAAACAACCAAAAAAAAAAAAAAAAAAAAAAAGAGAGAGAGAGAGAGAGAATACTCAGAATAGTTAAATAATTAATTGATCAAGTAAAGTGAATAATAATCTCATTTTCCACTTTCCTATGGGCGTTTTGGCACAGCGCTCAACAAACATTTGTTGAAAAGGAATTTTTAAATTTTTTTCTATAAGGGCCAGCCAAATAGCTCAGTGGATTAAAGCACAGAGACCCAGGGGTTCAATCCTAGGCCTGCCATGCTGGCCCCGCTCCTGGGGTGCACTGAGACAGCAATTGAGACTGGTCGTGGTGGCGTGTGACTGTAATCCCTGCTCTTGGGAGGCTGTAAACAGGTGGATCACTATGAGTCCGATCTATAAGTGAAACCCTGAACACCCTGCAGACCATTCCCTACCATACCAAAAAAAAAAAATTCTATAGAACATTTCAAAGACAAAAAAAAAAAAAAAAAATAGAATAGTCCTGAATGTCTACATTTAGTTACCCTTAATAATCACAGGTTTTCCATTTGTTTCCTCCTCCTTACTGTTCCTATATTAATTTAAACCCAATAGTTCACATAATTTCATAAGATGATTTTTTTTTTTTTTTTTTTTACATTTGTTGGATACAGGGTCTCACTACACAGCTCAGACTCATAGTAATCGTCCTGTATCAGCCTCCTCAGTGCTGGGATTACAGGTGTGCGCCATCATGCCTGGTTTTGGGGCCGGCACAGCATGTGATACTATGGATCAAACTCGGGTCCTTGTGCTTCCCAGGCACTTAGACCACTGAGCTGTCTCCCCAGCCCCATAAGATTATTTTTTAAAAAGATTTTTAAAAGTTTAGAATGTAAGACGAGAGATAAGGCCAACTAAATTTGGAAAAGCTAAAAACAGATGCATGTGTGATAAGACAAGGCTAATGGAACTGCATCCTGTTGGGTGCAGTGGTACAGGCCTGCTGTAGCCAAGGTTCACAGGGAAACAATTTAATACAGGACACATTATTTACAGGGTTATTTGATAATATTCAACCAATGCGTGAAATGGAAAAGAGCATGGCAGATGTGTCCACACATTAGAGACTCCGGGAGCCCCATCAGCAGCGTCCTGCATAAGTCTGGCTGAAGCCTAGAGCCCGCAGCAGCGCGCTCCTGCAGGCAGCTGGATGCCTGGAGCCCGTGACGATGTCTCGTGCGAGTCTCTATCAAGGATCTGCCCTGGCAAGGCCCAGAGATCAGTCTGTGCCAGTGGGATGAAGAATCATGCCACCAGGCGGAGGGATCCGCATTGCCGCCAGGCCGCGACACTGCGTGAGGACCAGAGCGCCACTAACCTGAACCACACCTGTGGGCCTGATTCATTGATTGTCTCCTCCGCGTGAGAATGTAGACGAGAAAAACGGAATCTGAAGGGTACGATAGGTACTGGGGAAAGGGAATGAACTTACTCAAAAGGAAGGAGTTACCGAGCTGAGAAGGACGAGAGAGAGCGGGAGAAAGATCCGATTTATCTATGTATGTAAGCAGGATGGTTTGGACAAGGCTACTGTGCACTGCTGCTGGTCTAAGGAAAAGAGCAGATAATTTGTTTTGTCTCTTTTTTTCAATTGTTTATACTTTTTCTCTTAATTTCTTTTTTTTTTCTTCCAATTTTATAGGCATGTATCTGGTAATATAAATAACTCGTTGGAAGACAACACTCTGTATTATAGCAAATACTGTGAAATTCATACTACTTTGTTAAGTGAAATTCTGTATCACTTGTAATTTTTTCTGTTTTTATTCTAATTTGTACTCTCTTTAAAAAATAAACAAATAAAATAGAAACAAAGTGAACCACAGACACTCTCAGTGACAGCCAGGTCCCGAGGAGCTCGTCTGACAGAATAGCTGAGTTCCTGTCAGGTAAAACAACACAAGAAACTTCTGCAGGACAGTCAA